GCCTATATCGTAAAGATCGTCAAGACGGACGTCGAGGTGGCGGTGTAGCTATCTACATTACAGACGTATTTAACTCTCATGAAGTTAACCAATTTTATACAAATCTTCTCAAACAAGTCTGGGTATCTGTAAAATTTAACAACAAACATATACTTATTGGTTGTATATACAGACCAAATGATGCCAGTTTAATAAAATATGTCGCTGAATCCTTCAAATTAGCTCATAGTTTAATTAAAAAGCCCTATGATGACTGTTTGATTATCGGTGACTTTAACTTCCCGAATATAAAGTGGTCTAACGATGGTATTGAATCTTTTAACCCAAACAATCCTACCGAGTATGATTTCTGGAATATTTTCCAAAACAGCCTTTTTACTCAACATATCACATTTCCTACTTTCCAGACTGATTATGGTTCCTCAAATAATATGTTGGACTTGTTATTTACCTACAACAGTAAGTCTATTTTAAACTTGTCTCCTAGTACTATACTAGGTAACACCACTAAGGGTCATTTTAGTATCACTTGGAGATTCTTAGTTTCAGAACTGTTTACCGAAAGTGAATCTCAATCGTTTAATTACAAAAAAGGTGATTACGATTCAATATCTAACTTTATTGCATCAATCGACTGGGAGTTTTTATTCCTGCATAAAACTGCAGATCGAATGTTCAATATACTAATTTTTAACTATCGCACTGCTTGCACATATTTTATTCCCAAGATTAATAAAACAAAAAAAAAGTATGATCCTTGGGTTACCCCACATATTAAAAACCTGATCCGAGAAAAAAAATCCGCTTGGCATATAAACTGCTCTACCAAATGGGAGAATAGTGAGCTTAAAATAAAATACAATCGCCTTAATCGTTCAGTAAAAACTGAAATATTTAAAGCAAAAAAAGCACATGAAAAAGAAATAATATCAAAATCCCAAAACAACCCAAAAATCGTTTACAAATATATCAACAAACAACTAAAAATTAAAGATAGAATTCGCTCTCTCAAAGATACTTCAGGCAGAATTATTGAAGCTCTTCCTGATATAGTTGATCTTCTGAACTCTCAATTTAAATCTATGTTTACACTTGAAAGCTCTGAAAATTTTCCTTTGCTAAATAAAAGTGGTATTCTTTCTGAATGCATTTATAATGAAAACTTGGATTTCTCTATCTCAGATATTATTCAGGAACTTGCCGATCTAAAGCCTTATAAATCCTTCGGATCTGACGGCTTGCATCCCTTAATACTCAAGATATGTGCCAAAAGCTTTGCAATTCCATTAACAAAAATCTTTCATAAATCCTTTAATTCTGGAGTAGTACCCACTCAATGGAAATTAGCAAATATTAGTCCGATCTATAAAAAAAAGGGAGATAAATTACTTGCTGAAAACTATAGACCTATTTCACTAACATCTGTTGCCTGTAAAATCTTTGAAAAACTTGTAAAGAAAAAAATTTTAAAGCACATTAACGATAATAAAATGCTCTCTGCAAATCAACATGGCTTCCTTTATCATAAATCATGCGTAACTAACCTAATAGAAACTTTTGACATCATTTCGTCCTCCATAGCATCTCACCAATTTATTGATGTAATCTATCTTGACTTTGCCAAAGCGTTTGACTCTGTACCTCACAACAGACTTTTGTTAAAATTAAGATCTTTCGGAATAAACGGCAAACTCCTACAATGGATTAAATCTTTTTTAGTGGGCAGAAAGCAACGCGTTACAATTAACAATACCAGCTCTGCATGGGTTGATGTTCTCAGTGGTGTTCCTCAAGGTTCTGTTCTCGGCCCGCTCCTCTTCATTCTCTACACAAATGATCTCGCAAAACTCACTGAAACTTCTGAGATATTTGCCGATGATACTAAACTTTTTTCTAAAACCTTATCGCAATCTAATTTTGTTGATCTGCAGGATCGTCTACGCTTGGTATACGAGTGGTCAAACACTTGGTTACTTAAGCTAAACACTTTAAAATGCTGCGTCATTCATTACGGTCGAAACAACCCCCATTACAATTACTTTCTTCAAAATAACCAAGGAATCAACCAATCTCTAAGAAGCTCTACTAAAGAACGTGATTTAGGAGTCATTTTTACATCTAACCTCAAGTGGAGCGCTCATATTCAAACAGTTGTCTCTAAGTCCTTACAAATTCTCGGTATGCTGAAAAAGACATTCACTTTCATTGATGAAAAAATGGCTCTCAAATTATATAAAGTATTTATAAGACCACATCTTGAATATGGAGTGTCCATTTGGGCTCCTTTTTTAAAAGCTGATATGGCTTTGGTTGAATCTGTTCAACGCAAAGCTACAAAATAGGCTTACAGCTTGAGGCATCTTCAATACTGCGAAAGGCTAAAAAGATTAAACCTACCATCACTTGAGTTTCGACGCCTTCGATGCGATTTAATCCAAATTTTTAAATTAATACATCGTTTTGATATAGTTAATGATAAATATCTACCAAAATATATTAACTCCGTGTCTCGTGGTCACCATTCTAAAATTAGGCGTGAGTATGTTCTAAACTGTCTTCCAAGATATAATCATTTGTATAATAGATCAGCAAAATACTGGAACAATCTACCAGAGCAAATAACTTTGTACTCCACTGTACTTTCTTTCAAAAATAGACTAGACTCCTGGTTGTGGAAAAAGTTTGGAACAAATATTTATAAAACTGGTTGTTTATAGTGGGGTGTTTCCCCTGCTCGCTGTATGTGTACATTCTATGTAAATTTACGGCTACAACTATAATAATAATAATAATAATAAATTAATTGAATCGAAAAGTGATTAACTTTTGTAAAAACCGAAATTTATATTTATGTTGTTAACTTTCAGCTAGATTAGATATAAGATTATGATGAAAATCAATACTATAAATGAGAACGAATTGAAGGCAAGAATGCAAGATATTTTTTGAAAGCAGTTGATATGTCAAGAACAATAACACTTGCATCGCTGCCTCCATTTAATGCAAAAAAAAAAACTTTCTATTACAACAGTTAACAAATAAACTGTAGAATAAATGGATCGAATTTTGAATTGATTGTCAGAGGGTACGTTGTTACCTGAAGTATTAGAAGTTTGTTAATTAAAGACTGAAAGACTATGCTACTAAAAAATTTTATCACATGAGTGATTGTTATTGTAATTGAAATTTTTAAATCTCTTATCTAGATCAATTTGACAAGTTTCATGCCTTCATGGAACTAATAAAATTACATCTAATAGTCACCTCATCTGGCACCTTTAACCATTACTCTTTTAAAAAGTGGCTTTCAATGTTTAGTTTATTGAATTTTAGGGCTTACCAATCAAGCATCAATCCATGATCAAGTTAGATATAATGATCTAGGACACCACAGCAAAAAAATTTAATTTTGTGTTACAGAGCGTATAATTAGATGTTGTGTTATATTAAAGTCTAGTCTTTCTAAATGAATTATTGTTTGGTCTTACAATAAAATTGTCTTCTCAACTGAATTAAACTGATTTAAAGGTTTTTTTTTGAAGTGATCATTAATTTACATTGATCATTGCCTTAAGTTTTGTTTAACTGTTTTTTTAATAAAATTTAGAAATAATAATATACAATATTACCTTAATTATCTTGCATAAGAAAGTTTTAAATATAGTTATAAAACTTATTATATTTTATAAAACTTTTATTTTTACTTTGTTTTTAAACTTAAATCCAACTAAAACTTTGCAATAGAATTCTCAATCTTTTAATCTTATTTGTCATACATTTGCTTAACAGTAATAACATAAAAAATCTACTTTCATTAATAAATCAGAAAAAGTCATTTTCATCAATAACTCTTCAGAGAAAATATTATAAAAATTTAAAAATATTAAAGATTCAACTTAAATTTGGAATAAATTGCATATTTGGAAAAATGTTTTTTCAGTTAAAATGTTTTTTATAATTCATTATCCTTTAACGTGAAATAAAGATAAAAAATCTAGGCAGCCTCTGTGGGGCCAACGCATTTGGAGAGGCCAGCTCAAAAAGAATCAATTTTTTTTTTTTTACAAACTTGAATTTTACACTTTTAAGCATTAAACAAAAAGTATCAGCTGCGTACGGCCAATTAAATCTGACGCACAAATCCAGATAGGTTCAATAGAGTTAAAAAAAAATGCTTCAAGTAGTTGAATTTGATTTTACAGTAGAATGAGCTGTATCACATTTTGTCTATTTTTGTTAAAGAGGTTTAATCAAAGTAATCAAATTTGAATAGAACTTATGTTATTGATGGACAACAACAAATACGCTGCAGCTGTGATGAATCCGAGAATTTTTATTCATATCAATTCATTCCGCTGGATCCGTCACTGCTCTGCTGAACTTGTAAATGTCAAAAAGACTTTATGTCAATGGAGGTGTCAGACTTCACTGTAAGAGAAAAAACAATTGAGGTTAATCTTGTCATCAATCAATTTTTATATAAGCTTGAAAAGCAAAGACAAGTTTATGCATTACTTCTCTCTGCTTTTTGAATTCTTCGTTTTCTGGGTATGGGCTCTGTCACGCTCACATTGGTTTACTTCTCGTTATTTGAACAAAGAAATTTCAATCAATTCCATAATGTCAATGTTGTTATAAGGATGTTTTTCTCTGCTGTTGTTATAATTTGTACTGATAAAAGTTCCTTATCAAACTTTAAAAAGAGCAAAGAATTGTTACAGGTTATCGGGTCTAAAATTGTTACACTGTTATCGGGTCTAAAAAGTATGCCATTAACAAAAAAACAGTAGGAAAAAGCAGATTTTTTTAGTAGGGGGTGGAAAGAGGAGAGAGTTTGTAAAGACCACAACTGTTATTTCACTGTTGGGCCAAGATGACCTAAATACGGGCCTGTTAGCAACCATACCTACCCCACCCATCAGCTATCAAATAGCTTTATATGATGTAATAAACCTTTAAAGATGTAATAAACCTTTAAATATCAGTAAAAACAATAATACCTTTAAAGTTAACATAAAATCTTTAATTTTACCAAATTCTTCTCCGCATTTTAAACCATTTTCGTCACGAATTGCTTGAACGTTACCATGTTTATAAAAGTCTAATGCATAGCTGTTAAGCTTGTAATTCGTGTTTTCAGAACCATTTTTCCTTAATGGAATTTCATGTACATCTGTATAAACCTTTTAAGTATGAAAAAAATAAGAAGAAAGAAATTGTTAATTGACTTATAATTGCAGTTATATAGTTATTAACAAAAAATAATTTATAGAATTATAGAAACAATTGCATTATTTTTAACTCAAGTAATTACTTTGATAAACGTTGCAGAAACATTTTTACAAAAAATTATTTAAATTAGAAGTCCTGGATGAATTAACTTTTATATGAAATGCAGGTAGTAGATTTTTTTATTGTGAAAATCAGTTCATATCATTGAAATTTGAATCGAATTTAGTCCACAGAAAGAGGACTAAATTCGATTCAAATTCCAATTATTTGAATCGAATTTAGTCCTCTAAATTCGATTCAAATGCATTAGACTAAATTTATTTTATGTGATTGTTGATTGTATGTTTCAAGATTATTAATTAATAAATTTCAATAGTTAATAATAATAATTTTTAATAGTTGATAATAAGTTTCAATAGTTGCTTGATATAATAAAATTTAAATATAATAAAAAAAAATTTCCACTAGCAAGTGGTATCAAACAAAATTTCTTTTGAATAAAGACATATATAAAAAACTATAAAGTCAACACTTTAATAAATATCTCTTAAAAAAAAGTAAATACAAGGAATTGTAAAGTCAATACTTTGAAAAATTTAATTTGGAAAAGAGTTTAAAAACTTAAGTATTAAGGAAAGCTAACTATTTCAAAACAGTTATCAATCTATGAAAAATCTCTAAATATCAAAAAAATAATCAAAATATAAGAAAGTTACGACATATAAAAAAGTTGCGATCATTGCAATACATAAAGATCTAAAACTATAGTTAAAAGTAAAAAGAACTTAAGGTATACCAGGTTTTAAGCAAACAGATAAAGTTAAACATTACAAAAATATCAATAAAAAATTAAAAAAATATATAAATAACTCATTTAGGAACATAAACATAAACTAGTAAAGGATCAAAATAAAATACTAAACATATACAGTCTCAAACTGAACCAAAGTAAAAAATTTTTTTACTTTAGTTTAATACATTATACATTAAGGATATTTAAAGTTTTTATTTTATATTATAATTTTGAGATGACAAAGTTGTTATATGAGAATCTATTAGGGTATTTATGACTTATTTCTCTAAAATAGGGTCGAAATATCTGTAGAGATATGTCAGGATTTTATTTTGTACATAAAATGTAAAACAAGATGTATGTAAATTTTGTATTCAATACTGTTACTATACTGTTAGTGATTTTAATCTTATTTTTGTTTCTTGCTATATAACAGAAACTTGTATTGAACATTTTTTAAGAATTTTTTTTATTTTATCATCCTATTTTATATTACATGGGCATTTATTTTTATGATGCCCAATTGTAGCATCATTGGAACAATCTGCAATTGGGCATCGTAAAGTTAAATGTCCATAAATATAAAATTGGGATCAAGTAAAAAAGTTAAAGGTAGAACCCAAAAAATTTTTAAGAAAAGTTCTTGAGGCAATCGAAATTTAGTTTAACAAATGCGGATATAAGAATGGAGGTATGAATTTAGATGATGGTCAGTATGTAAAAATGCAATTCTGGACATCATATTTTTAATATTTACATAACATTAAAGAAGCCCAATTAAAGCAAACTTTAAAGAAGCCATTGAATATTGAATCTATATATATATATATATATATATATATATATATATATATATATATATATATATATATATATATATATATATATATATATATATATATATATATATATATTTATTTTACGCCATCTTAAAAATAAAGCCTGATTAAGGAATCAAGATTTAAAAACATGATTGAACAAGTTTAACAGAAGCCAATTTATAACCAACAGCTTAAAAGGTTTATGGTACAACATATCTCTTTACAATCGAAAGTAGAAAAGGTGATATAGTGCAACCATACAGACTTACTAATGAATTAGATATAACTAATTGGTAAAAATCCTTAGTACAATTTTTCAATATTTGAAAATAATTCTATTACATGAGGTCACTATAAAAAAACGTAGACAGCAAACAAAAAACCAAACAGTTAACTAATAATTTTTTCTTAATTAGAAAAGTGGACGAATGAAACTATTTACTAAAAGAAATCCTAAATGCAAAAAAATTGTACTTATTTTAAATTCTTTACACTAATTAGAAACAAAATAGTGAAAAACTGTTTAATTCTGACATCTACTGTTATTAGACTCTAAAAATAAATAACAATTAACTTGTAAATAATAGTTTTTTGTTTAGAATTTTTTTCATGTTTTAAATAAAGTTCAAGTAATTATATAAACAATTCATTAAATTCATTAAGTAACTATATAGGTAGTAGAAAAAACAGTTACCTGATTTCTTACTTTAGATATGCGATCATATGGAGAGTACACATTTTCATCAGAATGACTTGATGTTCCAACAAAATTTGAGCAACATTTATTGTTGAAAGATGATTTCCAAATCATGGATTCTATTGTATTTTCTATAATTTCCAATAAAAAAAATTTATTCATATTTCTTACAGAAACTATAAATCATATATAAATTTTGTTTAAAAAATTTAATGAAACTTTTTTTTTTTCAAAGTATTATTACTTCTAACAAGGCTGCAAGCAACTACTATTAGAGAAGGATGTTACTAGAAGAGAAGTTTATAAAGCAAAATGGCAATTAACAGATGACTTAAAAGAATGCAAATTGTATGAATCAAAACAATACGATGCAAGCAAAGTTATAGCTCTTGGAAACAGCCACAGTAAAAAAATGACAATTGATAAAATGGCGAGTAACACAAGAATAATTTTCAGTAGATGGCACAAGAGGCGCTAGCTCTTTAGAGCAGCATCCATTATAGTATTTACAGAAAAGATAAAAAGAAGAAAAATAATGATGCAACGATGTGATAATGATTAAAGCTTGGCTATTTTTAAAATGCGTTTTTACACTTTATCTATAAGAGAAAGGGCACCATTTATATATGTACTCCAGACATGTTAAAAGTATTCCATACAAGAACAGATTTGAGAGTTATAGAGATAAAAAAAATCTGGAGTTAGAAAGTGGCTAGCATAAAAAAGAGATGCAACCTTGGCAGATGCTAATTTTACAATAGATTTAAAATATGGTTTTTAAGAACTATCAAAAATAAGAGTTACCCTTAGAAGACGAAGAGTAGATAACTCATAAAGTACACTACTGTTCATAAGTATAGGGAGAACCTAGATTGTTGTAATAACAATTAGCTGAAAAAAAAAACAGTTTTATCTAAGTTAAAGTTTACTACACACTGAAATCTCTATGAAGTACCAGAAGTAAAATCCTCAAATGCAATCAGAGAATTTTGACTTCTTAGCAACACAAAAATAAATGATAGTATCATAAACGAACAAAGCCACTGTAGAAATAAAAGTATATGATTAATTTAAATTAAAAAAGATATAGGGCAAAGGATAGAACTTTGAGAAACCTATAAAATTAAAGGAAATTAAGAAGAGTGCTGTTCATTGAGGACAACTTTTATACTAAGATTGGCAAGAAAGAAAATCTTAAAGATATTACCTGATACACTATAAAAAGAGAATTTATAGAGAAGACAAGCATGCCAAACCTTATCAAAGGCTTTGCGAATGTTGAGAACGATATTCTTAACCTCTTCACATCAGCCTAATGCACAATAAAACCTGTTAATTATTACTGTTAACAAATCAGAATGAGAAGATTAAAGTTCGAAAGTAAGTTTTTAGATTGAAGATGGGAGATTAAGTGCTTGTTAACTAAAGGCTCAAAAATTTAGTTTATGATAGGAGGAAGACTAATGGGACGGTAGTTAGACAAGTCAGATTGTTTTCCCTAATTTTTGAAATGATGTCGCTTTCCAGCAGAATAGAAGACAAGACTCTGATAAACACTTGTTAAATAGTTTTGAAAATATAGTCATCTCCGAAAAAATCTTGAGCAAAACTATAACAGGTATGTTGTCTGAACCACAAGCTGTAGAAGAGTCTAAGCAGGAAACCACTTCAGATGGAGTTATACTATACGCAAGCTGGAGTTATACTATTGTCAAGCAATAGATCAACCTGTTTGTTGGCTGTATCAGGTAGGATGAGACAAGTGTAATCAAAAGATAAGATTCATGAAAAGTTTTTAACAAACAATTCAGCTTTGTCGTTAGGTGAGGTAACAAAATCTGTACCATGCAAGAAATAAAAAAAAAACAACAGATTTGCCCTTATTATAGACACTGTTAAAGATTCTGCAAAAGTCTCTAGAGCCTAGTTTTTGTGATAGAACACGAGATTTTAGCATTAGACAAAATTTTTTTGTATAATGGTTTTTAGCAAAGTAAACAGACATCTATTCCTGGAGAATTATTTTGGCAATATATATGGAAGAAAACCAAGGAGAAGAGTGAGACTTGACTTGGAATCATTAAGAGGAAATAAAAGATTATAAGCTAGACTAAATCCAAGCAGTTACATAAAAGACACATTTGTCAGCAGGTAAATGAAAAACTTCTATCCAAGGGCCATCACAAAGAAAATCATGGAAAGAATCCCAGTCAATTTTAAGGTAGTTGTAACAGATACAATAATATAGAGAATGAGATAGCAGTTTTAATAACTGATATTAATAACTTTTATCTCATTCTTTATCATCAAAAAATAATTTTTTTTTTGATGATAAAGAAGAATGAGATAAAAGTTTTAGAAATCAAAACGTTGTGGACGTAACACCTGCAGGGTCACTAGAATCAAGCCTTTCAGTGTAATGAGTATTAAATAATAATTAATGATGGACTAATGGCTTGCTCAGTTTATAAAATAATATCAAAAAGAGTGCAGTCTTGTAATGAAGGAAAGAAATATAGAACAAAGAGAAAGGTGATAGAGGAAAGTAGTGCTAAACAAAAATACACAAAAGAACAGTCTGTAGATTCAAAACTAGTTTCCTGACAAATTAGTGAATTCTTGTGAAAGAATTCACTCATTTGTCAGGAAATAGTCGCATGCTTGTTAAGACTCCAAATACTCAGGAAATAGTTACATACTCGTAAAGACTTCAAAACTCAGGAAATAATCACATGTTTGTAAAGACTTCCATAGTCATGAGTTGGACTCTTTATGAATTAAAGAACGATAACCATCAATACTAAGATCACAAGATGAGATTAGGTACAGTGAACTTTGCAAGGGATAAGATTTAACTAAAGAAACACTAGTTCGAAGACCACACATTATAATGAACAGTAAATTTTAAGAACTTGGTGATGACAATGATTTTTAGTGTTTAATAGATTTTGGTACTTTTGTCATTTTTAAAATTATTAAAGAACTTGACTCAAAACACAGATAAAAATCAATATACTATTTAATAGTCTAGTTGAAAGAATTGCCTCATTACTATAAATAAACTCTAAACCGTAACAAAAAGCTCCATATGGCTGTGACAATGCGCACTAAAAACACAAACAGGAACTCCATTAATACACAACATGGCACTGTTAGCAATTTGATACTTTACAGCTGTTGATAGAATCAACCTTCTTTAAAAGCTACTACAGAGTTCAGTAAACCTGACTATCAGCAGGCCTTCTGAACCATAAAACCAAATTTTAGAGCTGTACCCTTATTAGGTGATAACATAATGAGTTGCCTAGTAAGAAAAATTGTTTCACAAGCAAAGCCTATGTAACAAGTCAAGCATTCAACATCCTAAAATGGAAAAAATGAATTATAAATAAATCTATGTCAGCCTTATAGCTGAAGAAGGGGTGCAAAGCTGATCAAGAGGTAGAATCTGTTTACACTCAAGTCTTTGCCTAGCAGGACTTCTATAAGACAGCAGCTGAATGTATTTAACGCCTGCCGATTTGAGCCTTTTTATAGACGATATCTCAAGTCTTTACTCAACCAAAAGCTCCAAGGAAGGGGGTGTGTTAAGTTAAAGTTGGCATCTCTGAGCATTAAAAAGCATATGTACTGGGTTAAATGTTACCAGTAGCAGGTTAACCAGACCTGACACAAAAATAAATTTATTTGTCAGGTCAGGTTATTAAAGCCCGTTTAATAAATTTATTAAAGCCCGTTTAACTTCAAAGAGTTTTAGTATATGATGTCATGGTAATTTTTTTTTTTTAATCGATTTTTTGTTTGAATAAATATGATTTGTTTTTGTTTTATTTGTTATTATAACTTTTAAATTTATAATATAATAGTATAACTATTGTTACAATAACTAATGTTATTATACTATTGTAACTATACCAACAATGTTATTATACTATTGTAATATAGTAACTATTGTTACTATAACTAATCTTATTATAACTATTAAATTCATAAATAGTATAACTTTTGCTTAAAATTTATAATAAGCTAAACAAAAGAATTTTTTTTAATAGCGCGAGAACCAAATGAAATCAAAATTTTTATGATACATTCTCAAATATAACAAATATATACAAAAGACGTTGATTAAGTTGTATTATATTCTGAATATTTTTTATTTTTATTTAAAAAATGTGAACCTTTTTTCTAGTTTATATAAGTTAGGGGTCGTAATTAGTAGCGGACACTGCCACTTCTCTTATAATTTTTGAGATATGCTAAAGGAGGGCAACAAGCCATCAGTCATTTTTTCTGTAAAAATGAACAATAGTTAGTTGCCCCATTAAAATAGGTCTTAAAAACAGTCCAGGTGTGTCAAAGTTCAACACTATTTCAACCCCTGATCTAAACCATATATTGCTATGACAATTTCGTTCTTCTATCAAAATGACAATTTACAAAAATTTTTAATTTATAAATAATTTTTGATAAACGACATCATTTATTAAAGATATTAGTTCTGTTTTACATTAAAACCTGTCTCTTAACATTACAAATCAAAAAACTACCAAAATTGACAATAAAAAGTTTTTCGTTAAACGATTTCAATTTTAAAAATGTTCCGATAATGCTACACTTTTTTGCAATCTTAAGCAATAATTATAATGTTGTTATCAACTTTAACTAAGTCGCTTGAAAGTCCGTAAGTTGAAATTCAAAATTAGTTGACTTTAAAATACTGAATAGTCGATTTAATTGACTATGGAGTTTCTACTAAGTGACTAAAAATCGATTTAGTCAAATCTACTTTTATTCACTTAGTTTTTCAATTTTTATTATCCTGATAACTTTTTATTCGATATAATTTTTCAATCTTTAGTTTTTGTTCATTTCATTTTTATAACTTTTTTATTTAACTATTATAACTATTATCAAGTTTTTTATTTAAAGTTTTAACTAATTTACAGCATCTTAGCATTGTTTATACCTAATTAAAATTATAATTATGTATATCATTTTTCTTTCTTTTGTTTACTCAGTAGCTATGATTTTCATAAATACAATATGAACCCTGATTACGATGTAATAAAATAAAGTAATGCACTTTTGTCAGTAAAAGTTAATGCTTGTCGTTGTTTATACACTAAATAATTTCATATAAAGTGACAATGTTATTCTATTACTATACTATGCTATATAAGTACTATCTGTGAAGTAGTAATGTGACTAAATAGAGTATCTATTCCATAAAATATAGTACAAATATAATAGTGCTAAATTTAGAGGGTAAACATTGTTAGTAATATTTTAATTAACAAAAATTACGAAGTAGATATAGTGATCTCTCATACTGAGAAATGCTTTGCAATGCCAAATGACATTATGGAAACTGAGAAAATTATTGTCGATTTTGGGAGCACGACCTAGTGATAGGTCTCATCACCTACTTTCAGATTTAGTTTTAGTTTACTTTTAGATTTAGTAACTTTTAGATTTAATAAGATTTTTTCTCTAAGCCTAAAACTTTAAATAAAAACATTCTATAGATAAAGATTTAAATTTTCATTAATGCATGATAATTTGTATTGAAATTAAACAATTTATGACTCCTACACCAAATATAACAAAAATATAATTAAATTTGTAAACAAAAACTAATAAGACCTTCAGGAACTTTAGAATCGCATAAGGAGGTGAACCTGACTTGTGATAAGGGAAGAATAACATCTTCACCAAATGTTTCATTCATATAATTTGATATAGAGTTTAAATACATGTTGTAGACTTTTTTAACTCGCTCATTATAGTTTTGGATTCCCTATAAAATTAAAATTGTATTCAAATTAGAAACAAATACTAATAAATATTTCTTATAAATAAATGGTTAAAAAGTACTTAAAATATTTATCTCATTCATTTTCGTAATTTATTTAAACAAATTTTTAGTTTATCCAATTGCCTTGATTTTTCCATCAAACAACCTTTTTGGTATTTTTCTCTTGTAATGTTCTTTTTGATTTTCTTTTTTGAATACTCGTTGAACGAAAGCTTTATTGCATTTAATTATAGCATTTAAACTTTGTAGCAAAATATTGTTGTGACTGAGTCGCATTTTGATGAATAGAGTCGACTATTGCTTTTGCCTTCTTTTCGGAAATAAATCTTGATTTTTCAAAACTTTCTGATTTTATTTTACAGTTTTGTTTTCTTTATAACATTTTATAATAATTCCAACAGTTGATTCTGGAACTTTACATGCTTTTGAAATCATGGAATATTAGAATGATGGATTTTCAAAATAAAATTTTAAATTTATTTTTTAATTTTTTAACTCTTTACTCCACTAAAACTAATGAGGAGTAAATAAATCTACACTCACACAAGAAAAATAACTATGTTAGCATCACTATAAAAAAATAATAACGATTGATTAGTGGTTTTTGAAAAAACTGAATTTATAGTCATCCAAATTTCAATGGATCATATTGATGTTATATAGTTTGTAATAACAATTGTGTTTATATAAATAAATATAAATGTTTTCTATAAAATATTAATGATAATCTAAAATAAATTAATTGCTAATTTAATATTAAATTACCGAAACAAAAACATCAGGAAGTTTTTTTAATATGAGTACACTTGTGCTTCTTTTATTCTCCTCAAGTGCTGGATGGACTTCAGTATTTGTGAAAAAGTAGGACAAAACTGCAACGAGATCCTCCATAAATTGCGTTGTATATAAGCCATCTTCAAGTCTGGTGGCATTATTACAAAATTCATGAAAGATTCCAGAATTTATTAAAGAAACAAAAACAAAATTACATGGTTCATGATAATATAAATGTGAAGCTAGACCTGCTAAACCTTGTGGTGTCCCATCACTTTTCAACAACCCCTAGATCAAGTTTAAATTAAAACAAAATTAAAAACAAAAACAATAACAAAAGGACAAAAATTACAATTAATAATGAAAAGTTGTTTAAATAAAAACCATATTTTCAAAACTTTGATATTACATTAAAAACAAAATATTACACATTCTGTCATATTACAATAACAATATTAGACATATTATAAAACCGAAATGATATTTTAAACTGAACAATATCTAAATACAAACCACTCTTATTAGAAATTGAATGCTAAACAAAAAAAAATGCTTGAACTGACTATCTAGCTCAGGATACTCTTTTAACAATAATGGATATTTTAGCAGTGCCAACATCCTAAATAAATTTAAAATAACTTATTTATAATTTGTATAACTGAACTAAATTTTTACAATTTGTGTTAATAAAAATATTTTGAAAAATAAAGAAACCAATAATTAAAAAGCTTCCAGGTTAAAAGATCATTTCTAGCTACATAAGTTTTTATGTTAATTTTTTTTATTTAGCAATGATTTATTTTTCTTCAGATTATTTTTCTCAATAAATTTGAATATAAAAAAACAAGTAAGCTAATTAAATATAACCCAGCTCTCCATTTTAACATAAATGGAGATGATATTAAAATGGAGAACTGGCTAATGGATGTAAAAATGGTGACATACATTACATAATTTACATTAAAGTTTACAATGAGGTTCATTATTCTGAGACAATAACAACAATAAGCACTATTTTTTTACAGCTTCTGCTTTTTATATGATTGACTTGCTAACTGTGACTGAAAAATTCTATTTTACATTAAATAGAGGAAGTAAAGGCAAAAGCATTGGCTTTTAAAGTATAATAAATTTTCAAAAAAAGTTCTATATGCTTGTTTTCTCCTCAAGCTTGCTTCTTCTGGAAAAGTTATTGAGACTATTTAATAAATAATTTTTTTTTTTTTTTTCTTTTAAACGTCTTTGCTTCCAACAAGGCTGCAAGCAACCACTAATTAATGGTGGAAGTTACTAGTAGAGAAAAGATAAAGGTTGTAGAGCAAGATAACGATTGACAGACGATATAAAAGAATGCAAATTATATGAATCAGGAAAGCAAAATAAAGGAAGTGAAGTCCAAAGGACTGATGTTCGAGGAAAAAAACTATAGGAATAAGAGTTTTTGGAGCACTTAGGAACATTAACAGAAAAAGGATGGGACTTAATTGAATGACACAAGACAGTAGATGGCACAAGATGCGTTAGCTCTTTAGAGCCCATTATAGTATTTGTAGAAAAGAGAAAGAGAAGCAACATTACGACAATGTGAAAAAGGTTAAAGGTTGGCTGCAAGTGCAGGTCCAACTATGTTTACAAACTAAAAAGATAATAGGGCTAAGGATTGAACCTTCGGGAACCCCTGAGGTTACAGAATAAGAAGAAGAGTGCTGTCCATCAAGGAAAGCTTTTTTACTACAATTGGAAAGGAAGGATTCAATAATCTTAAAGATGTTTCCAGATAAAAAGTAAAAAAAAAATTGCAGTATTAAATTCATCCTTCAACACTCTTTTTAATTTCCAGCAATGCCTGCCAACGTCCGATAAATATATGTAATTACAGCCGCAAAGCATTGTGGGATGTCTTGCGGGACCAAGTAGTCATAAACAACGCAACTTTTAGTGAAATATTTATACCTCTGCATTATTCTTATCAGAGGGCTTCCCATTTGAAAACTTTTCTTTTATAAATTAAAATAATTTTAAAACTATTTCATAACATTGCTTATATAACATTTTTATACATTGTATCATCTAACTTATATAACATTTATATACATTGTATCACCTAACATTAATATGTTGACGCAGTGGTAAATTTGATGCAAATTTAGCAAAAGTCATTTTAATCATGTTATCACTGTATTCGTTTTATATTATTTTAAATATATACTCCATATTAGTTTAAATATATACCCCTTAATTAGATGCTAAATATATAGTTAATATAACTGAGAGAAAAAGCAGCAATAATAAATAATAAATATATTATTTCAAGAATTATCATAAAAATAAAATCAAGCATGGATAATGCGAGCTAACTTGTTTTTACAAGCCTTGTTTCGTGGTGCCAGATCACGATTATAAAACCTTATATATAAGATATTCTCATATAAACATAGTGTCTGATTAAACTTTCTTCTAAATTAAAAGCATGATCAATATGTTCATCATAAAGAAATGTAAAATTGCAATTGTTTTTATTACTTTAATAATTTGTTGTATAAGATTTTTTTTAGTTAATATAAGTTTCATTTGGTTAATATAAGTTTCTTTTAAGTAGGTTTTGTAAAAAAGAATCAGAATTATATGAGTTACTTTCACAGAGTGAAACACTTGAAAGAACTTGTAAACATTTTTGACAGACTTGAACTTTCTTTATCAAATCATCTGCAAGAAATTTCAAAACCTTTTTAATTGACTGTGAAACTGAATCAGTTGAAACAGTTTGTAATGCGTAAGGTTTTTGTTTCTTTTTAAATAATGCAGTTGGATGTTTAAAAATCAATTGTTCATTGGTGATTGAGTCAATGGTAACTGGAGCTGAGAAATCTGATTCAGGGAGACAATTACTGTTAGAGTTAGATTGTTCTATTGAAAGGAGTACTAAGACATTTTTATATGCTGATTTAAACTGGATTAATATTGGTCTGTCATTCCAGCCTCTTTTGCTTTGTATTAATGCAAAAAAAAAATTTCTAAACAGTCCCGATTAAATTGAGCTGTGCAAACATAAAAAAAATCCTTATAAAGCAACTCGTTTGCAAGACAAAGAATATTAGAAATAGTGACATCTAAACCCCAATGACTGAATATATTTTTTTGGCTGCGAGCACCAGAAAAATGCCAGCCCTCAATTCAAACTCTTAAATCTTCAAGCTTTTGTATAAAATTACTATTTAGACTTAAAGCAGAGCGTGTTGATTTATCTGCTTTTGAATTCTGAAAGTTCAAGATGTTAAATAAAATATCCATATTTTTAATAAAAAAGCTGTTGACAAAACATTTTCAGACAATAGTTTTGCAGCAGCGAATTCAGTCAAAGTAGTAGCAACTTGACTACTAAAAATTTGTGTTGCCAATTTTACTCGCATGGCTAATGATGATCCTTGATCTAAATGACAATCTGTCAACTTTGGCACAAGCGCACAGCATTAACTTTGCCTTAGTTATAAAGTTTAATTATAAAAAGTATAAAGTTCTTCCAGATGCTTCTACAATATTATTTTACCATCAAATAAAATGTCATGTTTTATTAAATTGTTTCTAACATTTTTTATAAGATGAGGTGGATCAAATATTCTATAAACTTTTACTCGTGTAGTTGGATGTGAAATTTGTTGTTTTAATAATGAAAATCCTAAAAATTTGAGAGCTCTTATATTACTCGATATTTGATCACAAACAAGACATCTTACAGCTAAACCTATTTTATGTAGATGAATCATGGCATTATTTACTATCTTAGCTAAATTGGTTGAACACATAGTAGTATTACTGTAAAAATATGCAATTGGTTATTTCCATTTTGTTGATAATCCACGGACCATCAATACATGTACTTGGTTTACTGGTTTGCCATTAGATTGAGTACCAATGATCTTGTCATTGTTTTTGTCATAATCAAGATGTTTCTTTAAAGACATTTCATCAAAAACAAGACTAGAGTTTCGTCCCAGTTTTTTCATGGTATCTACTCGCATTTTTAGTAAAGTTGTAACCTTTTTGGAAAAACCAGATTCAAGGGTCCCAAAAGATTTTTCAAGAAACATTACAATAGTGTTTCTAGAAGGTAACGAAAAATTCTCTCAATATTTAGAAAGCTTGTGAACACATACATGATTCTTAAAGCTAAAATTTTATCTTCAACAGCCCAACGTTTTCCTTGTTTGACACGATTATTTATATGTAATGGACTTTCAAAAAATTGAAGTTGAGTATTTGTTAAATATTTTTTAGACAAATTAAAAATATGCGCTATTGAACTATTGATTTTTTTTAACATATCATGCTTTACCTTCAGGTTTTTAATTTTTATTTAAGTCAACAAATCTTATCTTGAGATGATAAACATTTTTTTTTTAAGGTAGTTTTGACAGTTACAATATTTATACTGCTATTCTCAACACTTTTTATTTTATTCAATAGGAATTTATTGTTGATTTCTTTTTTTTGTATTTTATCTTGTAAATGAAGTCTGTTTGTAGGCTGTTTTCTCTTTAAATTTAAAGTAGAAGGTTAATTTGGAAAGTTAAAAATTGTTGGTACAGCAGTTAGAAGTGCTCTTTTACTACCATTATTGGCAAGACAGTATTGGGAAGAATCAAAATCTTCACTACAAACAGTATAGTTAAGATTAAGTTCTTCACATGATTTTGTATTGGGATCATGACAACGACAATTAGAAACCAAAGCTTGCATCTAAATAATAGGTTAAACCTAATTAATTTAGTGGAATTGTTTACATCATATTATCTATAAATATTTTTTGTTTCATAAAACTTAAAGTAAAAGAATGTTTTAACAGTTTCTTTAAATTCTTAAGATACTAGTTAATTAATAAATTTGATTTGACTAATAATTACTTACCTATTTTTATCTTTTGGAAATCTAAAAAAAGATATATTATTTCCTTCATTCTTTCCACGCCTGTTTACACAACTGATGGCTGAGCAAAAGGCTGGCATACCTAATATTGTATTTATAGAAAAAGAAACTTATCTTGAAAAGCGAGATCTAGTAATATTATAATATATAATATATTTAGCAGACAACAAAGATATATAGTAAATTTATGCTGTTTATAATATGGTCCCGCAATATCATCCCATAATTCAATGTACGGGCAATTACACATAAATATATGGATTTTTAGTTTAGTTGGCAGGCTTTGATTTCCAGTAACTTTGGGGTAACTTAAGATTCTTTTTATGGTCTTGTTTATTTTTATCTACACTAATAATCTTTTGGACAGTTTTACATCTAAAGTGACTCTTTTTGCTGAAAACTCAACATTTAACAAAAAGTTTTTTCTTTTCTATTGCTATTATATTCTATAATAGAAAATGATTTTGAACCTAATCATTCTACTGTAACAGCTTTGGGTTGTAAGTTTTAACTCCGAAAAAACTCAGTTTTTATTTACTACAAACAGCTATCACAATGCTGTTGGTATTTCTTCAATGATGTATGGCACTGTGTCACTGAGTCATCTTTACATCTTTTTGGATTACTATTTACCAATTACCTCTAATAAAATATCCTTCTCCTGATTCTATTCTTTACCTTTACAAATCTTTTATT